TTAATTCATGTGAAGTAATTGGTATATGAATGATTGTTATTGAACAATGAAATAAAATCACAGTATCAGAAAAACTTAATGAACACCAATACAAGAACAATCAGTATCATAATGATTGCTATGTAACAAGTAACAACGAATACAAGGATAGTTCATATTCAACGATTGCTATATTATACTAATAAACAGTCAGTACAAGGATGATAAGAGAACTATATTACCACAGTAGCTAGCACACTCATTCTAGGCCGGAGTTCTAGGGTTCAAATCCATATATATATATATATATATATATATATATATATATATATATATATGAGACATATATATTTATGAGACATTTGACTCCATAGCCAATCCAGCTGGCTCACACAGTGTGTTGAGAAAGTTGGAGACAGGCATACTCCGTACAGAGGGGCAAGGATCGCTTGAGAGGTCCCGAGCAGTTAGCGTCCTTTGGGTATTTTCTAATTTTTTTGTTCTTCCCATGTCATGCTGGTGTATTGGGAAACGAGCAGGCAAATAGGCGGCCGGCTATGCACCATTTGGTGGTAAATTGATATGACAAGCTAAGTGTTGTGATGGCCCTTTGAGAGGTAGTGAACAGTGCGAAGGTACAAATAGATTATTACGGTCTGAAGAGAATGGCACTGCGAGGAGTTAACAGGGGATCTAACCGACGTTTAACACTCAAGGGGAAGGCAAGACGGACGTACAATCAGAGGTTACTGGAACCATCGAAATCGGAACTCTTCGTTTGCTGTTGAAGATGAGGACGTAGTGTTTATGGGAGTGTCCCTAGTGCTGTGATGTCGATGCTTCATTCAACATTCAATATCCATCTGGATCATATAGCTACCAGACATGGTCTGGGGTCATCCTTACTCCACAGAGGACTGTAGGTGACAGCGGACAGGTGTTGCCGTTACTGGTGCCCTCAGTATTACTTCCTTGGAGATTGAATGGGGTATCTGGACTTTTCACCAGTTATGAGACTTTTTTGTTTAGAGTTAGGTGTTAAACCTTCAGGACCTGTTGGTCTGCCATCAACTCTAGAATCTTCTAATCTCAGGGTGTCAAACCTTCAGGTGCTGATGGTCTGCCATCGAGATTGAAATCTTCTAATTTAAGGAGGTGTTAAACCTTCAGGACCTGTTGATCTGCCATCCAGTAAACCTATAATTTCAGGACGTCAATCGTTTCAGGCAGGAGATAAATGGCGCGCACGCACGCACACACGTATGTAATGTGGAATCAGCTGTGACAGGTTTGATACTGCCGGCGACAAGCTCTCGTGGTCTAAATATCCTTGCTGGGAACCACAAGTCCTGTCTGCTACACGGCATAGAAATAGGGTAATCAACTCAGCAAATAAGAATAGATGATTTGAGACTAATTAACATTAATCAATTAACAATCTTCTTATAGTTCATGTAATTTAGCGTGGATCATAATGTTTGTTCACAACCGTCTGTCTCATGTACTTTTTATCAACTATGACATAAATCCTCCATTTTATGACTGCCATTTGTCAATCTGTCCAGCATATTTTCTCTTGCGTCTCCCTCTGCCTCTCTCCCCTTCAACTTTCACAGTCACCATGTACTCCAGCTTTCTCCTTCTCATGGTATGACCAAAGAATGTAAGTCTCCTTCTGTTGCGGGCAATCAGTTCTTTTTTTATGAGTCAGTAATACAATACAGCAAGTCAAACTATGTTCCACAGTGTACATTTTAACAAAGAAAACACACAATTTATTGCCTGGTATATATCGCTGTATCTCACCCAATACATACTAAAGACTTAAAGTTAGCTTTATAACCTTTATAGGGCACCTCAAACCAGTATATACTGTCTATGCTTACTAAGCACTTTTACTTTCAGTAGTTTGCTATTGCTTTCTGAACAGCTAGGACCTTCTACCATCGTCAAAATCATCCCTAAGCGGACTGCTGCTGATTAGACTTCGACTGAATATATATGTTTGTTGGAATTTCGGAATTATAAAACTGTGTTTATAGTCCATAAGTCACAGACATATTTACCAGGGAGAAGATAAATAAATCCTTTGAAATAAAATACTATTCACAGAATGCAAATATTTCACCAAGATAAAATCAAGTTTACAACCTTGTCTCGCAGTATAAAATGTTACCAGAATTGGCTGAAGCTGTTACTATCAACTGTTCACGTCTTTTATTGTGCAGAAAACAAAAGGATATAGACTTAACCTTCCGTTTATCCAGGTAAAACATGCAGTAAAATATGAATATGTGTACATTTGTATTATACATATGTTAACACAATTTTTTTTTAGTGTCTACCTGACAAGATACCGCTGTATATATCAGGCAATAATGTGTACACTTTGCTTTTTTTAACTGTTTAAATACCAGCAAAAACAAATAGCATTATGGTCATTTTATTATTAATATGAACAGATTACAGCAATGAACGCCATTTTGTTAGAACAACAACGACAACCGATTGCAGTACTACAAGCACAGCTACAACGAGATTGTTTCTTCTTCTTTGTTTGCCCGATTTGATTTTTTTGTTTTGTTTTGGACACGAGTTGTGCCTGTTTATAGCATTGCCACTCACAGAGCATGTTGGGAAAGGTGAAAACATGCTGGCTTCGTGCAGAGTGGCAAGCATTCAATCAGAGGTCCCGGGTAGTAAGCATCCTTTGAATATTTTCTCCAGGAATGACGGTGTGTTGGGAAAATGAGCAGGCAGATCAACTGGCTGGCTCTGTACCACTCGGTGGTGAATTGATGTTTGACAAGTTAGATATTGTGACGGCCCTTTGGGAGCGAGTGAACAGTGCAGAGGCACAGATAGATCATCACGGTCTAAGGAGAATGGCGCAGCGAGGAGTTACCAGGGGATCTGACCGACACTCAGCAGTCAATGGAAGGATGAGACGAATATACAATCAGGCGGTTACCGGTTACATCAGGATTGTACCTCTTCGCTTGCTGCTGAAGATGGGAACTGAGCACTTATGGGAGTGTCACAAATGCCGTGATGATTCTTATTTCAACATTCAACATCCACGATTTTTGCATCTTTCGACCGACATAAGATAGATTTATGTAAAAGAACAAGAAAATTTGATATACAATGTGTAGGTTTGCATGTAAGTAGCAGATAATTTGACATCAAAATTGATAGATTTATTGAATTTGTTAATTTTATATCCGTCTCACCTTTCCCTTGAGTGTTGAGCGTCAGTCAGGTCTCCTGGTAGCCCTTCGGAGCTCCATTATCCTCACACTGTAGCAATCTGTTTGTGCCTCCGCACTGTTCACTCGCTCCCAAAGAGTCCCTACAACATCTAACTTGTCATACATAAGGCCGAAGGTAAGACGGGCCTGTGTGCCTAAACTGTGACTCTTTGAAAATAAAGTTAGTTCGTTCGTTCGTTCAATTCACTACCAAATGGTGCAGAACGGGCCAGTATATCTACATGCTCGTTTCTCAACACGCCAGTACGATCTGCAAAAAAATATCCAAATAACGCTAACTACACGGGACCTCTAAAGCGACCTTTCTCAAAATACTTTGTGAGTCAGTTACAGTAGCGAAATGTGTGTACAGCTGATTTTGATATCAGAATTGATTGAATTTGATGTGCGTGCAAGATATTTTGATTAAAAAATAGATTTGTTTGTAATGGACTATCTGAAAGAAAAAAAAATATTATTATATAGTCTAGATTAAATAGCACAGGGAGGACTAGTAAAAGAATAACCGGTACGTAACAATTAGCATAAAACAGCTATGGTGGGCGACGGTTAGTAGTTAACATTTATTATCAGTGAGGGCCGGATTTTTTTTTTCTTAAAAAAAGTGACCTTGGCTCCCAAGTCGACCCAGCCTCGAGTGGGTACCAGGTATAGTCCTGGGGAGTAAAGGCGGCCGGCGTAATGCTTGCCAAATTAGTATGAGAATGACGCGTGGAAAAAAAATACTCGTCAGGACTTTTTTTTCCAGGCGGGACAAAGTACTGGTACCTTGAAAAAAAAAAATAACCCCACCACCCTTCCCCCCCCCTCCCCCATCCAATCCAGAAAAATAGACACTTTGTGGTGAATACAATCACCTTTTTTATACACTTTGTAGTGAGTACCGGCACCTGTTTAGTTGCTTTGTGATGAGTACCGGCACCCTTGAGATACGTTGTGGTGAGTACCGTAACCTTTTATTAGAAAAGCACTCACTATAAGAACGATGACTAGTATATGGGAACTGATACACGACTAGTTAGCAGACTACGCAACAGTTAGTACAGGAACATTTAGTGTGAAACAAATCAATAAGCAACAGCCGAACAACCACATTTGGTATTAGGAAGTTTGGTATGTAACAACTGTTTTAAGATCAATTAGTATTAAAACAAAAACACGTATTTAACAATTAGCATAATAATTGTTAAAATGAGAAAGACTAATGTATAACAACCAAACTAACATACACGTGGAATATTTAAATGTAGACTTTAAACTACATGGTAAAATGATGTAACCGATAATAAACATTTTCACGTAATCGTGTTTGAGTTAAGCCGCACAGCTAGACTTTCTATATGTGTCGCCAACATTGTACAAAAAGCGTCGGCACAAAAGCGATAGGAAGTTTTAACATACCCGGCTACAGTCCATATCTCTGTCGTCGTGGGACTTTTATTAGTTCGGATTCTTGAAAAACCTTCACTGACTATTATTTCATAGTAGCGCAATCAGTTTATCCCTCGCGACTAGATTGTCTTGTACATGTATGTAGTTAAATCCGAGAAAAAGCAAGAACAGACAACCACCACCAAACTTAAGCTGTTTCATGAATACAAGAGTGGTAGAGAAGCCCTTCTATATCAGCCCCTACCCCCTTTTTTCCGTGTCTTCCGCGGATCAAATAAACATATGACCGAGTGGTAACTTTCTTAAGACCATGTCCACAAACTAGACTATATATACAAGAGAATCTCTGGGTGCTGGTCAGACTTCAGCCAGGAACTGGACCGGACACAAGGCTTCCCGCTTGTTGGCTGTTCTCACGTGAACGGTTGTTGGGTTAGACTCCGTCTCTCCGACGCCTACAACGATCTGCAGTAACAACATAGGTGGATATCAGAAGAGAAACAACAAATACCAGCTGTGCATAATTTAGCTCACAAAGACAGACCAGACCAGACAGACAGACCAGGACATACCAGACCAGACAGACAGACCCGACAGACAGACCAGACCGACAGACAGACAGACCAGACCGACAGACCAGACAGACAGACCAGATAGATAGATACATAGATAGACAGATAGATAGATAGATAAGAGTGAGACACGGAGAGAACCCAATGTTTAGATAAAGGTAAACATATACAGAATACACTGAATCATATATCACAGGATTGCTACAGCCGTGAACACGGTGTTTGAACGTTCGTTGGTTATCATGTCTATCTTCAACATTTTGTCATCTGTAAAGTCATCTATTTTGGATACAGACGTTGCGCGCCATCTTGCCAAACTAACATCTTCTCTATTGGTCTCCCCTGTCGTTCTTTCCTCCAACTTTTCCTTGTCCCCGATATACTCAGTATAACCCAGTTTTCTCTTTAAAAAAAATGTTTTGAATCATAAGGGTCGATTTCACTGTTGTGCAATTTAGCCTACATGTCTCATCCCGAGCAGGCCGCCCGCATTAACATGTAACAGTCACACTTGCATTATCGGCCGCCAAACATTGAGGGTTATACTAAAGATGGGATCACACCGTTTATGGAACTTTTCGATGTGCGATGAGGATAATGTCTAACTAACCGACTAACTAACTAAACTAACTAACCGACTAACTAACTAACTGACTGACTAATTTTACTGTTTAATTAACCAACTAATTAACACTGGAGAGGTATAACGTGATATTTTCTGTCTCGTCGCTTGGATGTTGAGAGTATGCATACATTTTTCATCTCGTCGCTTGGATGTTGAGAGTATGCGTACGCAGCCAGCATTGCAGAAGTAGTAACTGGACGCATAAAATTACAGTTTCTGCATGAGTGTCGCGATCGTGCAGTGAGCGATATTTTCGCAATGTTAAAGCTGTTTACAGTAAGACGTCAACCAGGTTGGATACCTGTCTTAGATAGTAAACAGTAATAACAAATGGTAAAATAATGCAGTTTTCTTTTGCAATGCAAGATATAGGCGGCGAGTTCATCCGTTGCATACAAGCCTCGCCACTGGACAAAACCACGCCCATCTTGAGCTATTTATTAATAGAGAAGGCCGTGGACAGAACATACCTGATCTTTGTGTAGCCTTAATCCGATTCCATCTAGCTCCGTGAGGTTCAGTGTTTGATTGACCTGATAGACTCGCTGGTACTTCTCCAGCTTCAGCAAGTATTTGGCCGGGAAATAGCCTGACCTTCCGTTACACTTGCCCTGTGTTCAACAGAAGAAAGGCAAACGCTTTTGTCAACGGAGCACGCACTAAGGGAATTATAAGTTATCGTTTGAGTTGTATATATATATATATATATATATATATATATATATTTATATAAAGGCATCACAGCCCTCCGGACATTCTCATAAGGGGCCTGCTCCACCAAGGGAAGCCGACACAGAGAAAACATGGGGAAGAGAGGGGGAATTCATACCGTATATTTTTATAAAGGCCATAAGTCTGGCTTTGGCGCATAATGATATCATAATAATAAGGACTGGTATTATTTGTATAGGCTGAATGTCAAATAAATGTAGTAATATATTTTAATAATTGAGAATAAAAGGAAATACGTAAACGAATGCGTAATATGAGAATCTCTCTCTCTCTCTCTCTCTCTCTCTCTCTCTATATATATATATATATATATATATATATATATATATATATATATATATATATATATTGGAGGGGAGGCGGGGTGGGGATGGGATGTGTCGGGGGGGGGGGGGGGGGAAGGGGGGTTGGTTAAACGACGGCTTAGCTCCCCTTGCAAATTTATAGAGGAGTGGATGTGGAAGCGCTCAGCTCTAATTTAAAACAAAAAGGAGCGAGGTTAAGGGGGAGGGGCATGCGGCTCAAGGTGCATGAGCTCCCCTTGTTTCGGTGCCGCCGGTCCCGCCATCCTCAGCGCACACTTCCAGTTCAGTACCAAAATTACCCTTTTGTGTTATCATTAGTTAGCGCCTGCGCCTTAGGGGTTATGAATGCAGTTTCATACCTTCCACGTACCACTTTCCATTCAGCTGCCGACAATTTGGCCGCTAACCGCTTTGCGTGGTGGATTTCTACAACAGTATGCGCTTTGACCGCTCATACAGCAATGGCAAAGCAGTGAAAGAAAAAAAAATGTGACTACCTTTTGTAATGATGTTTGAAACATTATATACTTGAGCACATTAACAACCTTAAAATTGTGTGTCTAGGAAACATACTTACGTCCTTTTCAGGACGTAATTTTTTTCTTATTTGAAGCCCTACTCTGGCTTTTGCCAGGGGCCGCAATATAGGCAGGCCATCAATATGGCCAATTGTCTGAACGCGGTTTCTGGGACCTCTCCACGGTGATCCTCATCCGCATGGTGGCACTTTGTGTCATCGGGTGTTTATCGCTTGTGTGATGTCCTAGTGGGGTAGAAAGTCAGTCAGTCAGTCAACCTTAATACTGAAAGGGGTACAGCGGGTACCGCATTGGACAACTGGGCCTATAGTTATATCCAGCGCAGACGTTATAATTAGAGCCTCTATAACGACCACAAAGGGCACTACCATGGAGTACATTGATATTAAAGGCAGGTTTAAAACTTTCCAAAGTAGTCGAAGCTATGTGAGATAAAACAGAACAGGGGTAGGTATGTAACACAAGACACGCAGAGTGGTAGATGTATAACAGAGCAGTGGTTGGTAGGTATGTAAGATAAAACAGAATTGTGGTAGGTATGTAAGACAGGACAAGTAGAGTAGTAGATGTATAAGATACAACAGAGCAGTGGAACAGTGGTAAGTATGCAGCATAAAACAAAATTGTGGTAGTAGGTACATAACATAAAAACAATGTAATGATAGGTATATAAGACAAAACAAAGCAGTGGTAGGTATATAAGACAGAGTTGCAGTAGGTATATAAGACAAACAGAGTTGCGGTAGGTATATAAGACAAACAGAGTTGCGGTAGGTATATAAGACAAACAGAGATGCGGTAGGTATATAAGACAAACAGAGTTGCGGTAGGTATATAAGACAAACAGAGATGCGGTAGGTATATAAGACAAACAGAGTTGTGGAAGGTATATAAGACAAACAGAGTTGCGGTAGGTATATAAGACAGAGTTGCAGTAGGTATATAAGAAAAACAGAGTTACAGTAGGTATATAAGACAAACAGAGTTGCGGTAGGTATATAAGACAAACCGAGTTGCGATAGGTATATAGGACAAACAGAGTTGCGATAGGTATATAAGACAAAAAGAGTTACAGTAGGTATATAAGACAAACAGAGTTGCGGTAGGTATATAAGACAAACAGAGATGCGGTAGGTATATAAGACAAACAGAGTTGTGGAAGGTATATAAGACAAACAGAGTTGCGGTAGGTATATAAGACAGAGTTGCAGTAGGTATATAAGAAAAACAGAGTTACAGTAGGTATATAAGACAAACAGAGTTGCGGTAGGTATATAAGACAAACCGAGTTGCGATAGGTATATAGGACAAACAGAGTTGCGATAGGTATATAAGACAAAAAGAGTTACAGTAGGTATATAAGACAAACAGAGTTGCGGTATAAGACAAATCAGAACAGTGGTTTTCTAGGCTGAAATATCGTGTATCCCGTAAGCAGCATGTATCATGTAGGTTCTTTATTCCCCATATAGATCCATACTTTTGTGGTCCTTACCTTCCACCAGTCTGTCTTTGACTTGGTTTTAACTGTGACACGGGAACCTGGTCTGTGGACAGCAATTAAACACAGATATTAAATGTGAGGACACCAACAGTCACCACAACTTTGCTGTGAAAACAATAACATTAAAACCGTCACCTCCAACCATCATCCCTAAAGGTGGAGCTTTAGGTTATAATTGTGACTAGGTTTTGTGTGCCATATAAAAAGCTGTAGTATTGTACGCCGCCAAAAGGCCTGCAAGGGACTCCTGTTGTGTTGAAGCAATCAGAGGAAGACCCAAATACTGTTTTTACCTGCGAAAAAGTCGTCTACCGGTGAGCCAATGGGCGAACCGGTCGCTAAATGTAAGAGGCTCTATGCTGAACGTAGATCTCACACGCTACATGGGAGGGTAATCTTATCTCCTGCCAACTTTCTCGTGAGGCGAACTCTCACGTCTAGGGCGTTTTTGATCTCCGGTGTCCAACGGCATGCGGCAGAGCTACCATAACCGCACTGTGGACCCCTGGGCAAACCAGTGCATTGAAACTCCCACGACAACAACTCAAGGGATGAAATGTTTATTTACGACAAGTGACATGAAACACAGCTCAGCCTAGGGCCTCCAATGCTTGTGGGACTCCCAGGCAAGTGCCAAGCAGGCTCACATGTAAAGCAGTCTGCTGTCTTTTTTGACGTCACTGCCATTTATTTTGAGTCTGGAAACATCAGCTCTAACAATCCTGGTGTCCAAAGAACACACAACAGGACGGTTGCCTTCTCTGGGTTGATCACAGCACTCATCTCTGTACACCTGTCAATCACCTTATCTACTGTTACCTGTAACTCTTGAGTTATTTGAATCAGATTTCTCCCCTTCCTATACATAAGTACATCATCTGCAAATCTCTTTCCCATTTTAGTGATAGATTCCCTTTCATCTTTACAATCAATAGAAAACTGAACCAAGGGAAGTAGGCCGGAAATTTTAGAGGAGATTTTAACACTAGCCATATAACTTGGGAACAATGGATGCGAAATTACCATAGCATGGGTTCCGACGCTTAGAGACAACACTGGTAATGAAATGGCAGACATTAGAGACCATGAGAAATTAGTGCAACGGGCAAGGGGGGCAAATGGGGAGGGGGGGGGGGGCGTGCGAACATTTGATGGAATCCGTTCTGACATCAACAATTTCAGACAATCTTAAAATTACAGCAAATAATGAAGTATGCAGATTAGGACAGGTCTTTCTCTCTCTATCTCTATCTCTCTCTCTCTCTCTCTCTCTCTCTCTCTCTCTCTCTCTCTCTCTCTCTCTCTCTTCCAATACGCGCCACTCCTCTCTAACCCTTATCTCACCCAATTCATCCCTCTCCCCTCTATCTTTCATCAATTTCGTTTATCTACCCATCTTATCCCCCCTCTCTCTCCTTTATATATCACATCTTCATTAACGCGTCTCTCAATCGCCTCTATCCCTCCTATTATATTCATGTGTGGGTACCAGGGCTCCGTTTTGAGTTTTGAGGGAAAGGGGGGGGGGGGGCAGGACCCAATGCCGCCACCATCCCCCGCAACATGCATGTCGTAAAAGGTGACTAATTAGGGGATCGCTGAAATCGGATGTGTTGAGTCGAATAGCACATAAATCACAGTCAAGCTATAAACCGTAACAGAGCGTGCCAGTCACCCTTTAGGGCGACCTAGAAGAAAAAGAAGTCTATCATTTCCTTTAATTTTTCATCTCATTCCCAGTCTATCATTTTCCTCCATTTTCCTTCTCGTTCCCAGTCTATCATTTTCTTTAATTTTCCATCTCATTCCCAGTCTATCATTTTCCATCTCGTTCCCAGTCTATCATTTCCTTTAATTTTCCATCTCATTCCCAGTCTATCATTTTCCTCCATTTTCCATCTCGTTCCCAGTCTATCATTTCCTTAAATTTTCCATCTCGTTCCCAATCTATCATTTTCCTCTATTGTTTATCTCTTTCCCAGTCTATCATTTTCTTTCGTTGTTCATCTCTTTCCCAGTCTATTATTTCCCTCCATTGTTCATATCTCATTGCCACAAGCACAATATTCCAAAGCCAATGATATAGCCGTTACCCTCTGCCAAAACTAATCAATGTTCTGTCATCGAATGCAGCAAATTGGTTTTGTTTTACCCAATTTATTTTTCCCACCCACATAAACACAATCTTCTATTTCCCTTTCTGCCGAATAGACCAGTATCGTTTTCTCGGGGCTGTGTTTGTTTGCAGGAACTGTGATCGTGCAACTTGCAATTTTTCAACTGGCTCTATAATAGATACCGTCAGCACCGCACCCCCCACCCTTCTCAATCATTGGGGGGGGGGGAAGGGCGTGGGGGGGGGGGGGCGGCGCTAAGCACCAGCTCATCTTTCCTCCTGTTTTCCTTGTTTGGAGCCTGTGTTTGACAGTAAAAGTAAAGGGCCCTTTTCGATGCCTTCAGCTGTACTGGACATATTGTACTAGATGTTTATTTTATACACCAATAGGCACTCGGTGGGTGATGTGGTCAGCGTTAGGCCCATCTCCTTTACTTCTCAGGATTTTCCCTGTTACCCGTTTTAGGTTCGGTCGATCTGGGAACCAAGGTCCTAAAAAAGTCTGACTCAGTACCTGAACCACGACCGGCTCCAGCTGAAGGGCCGTGCTACTGACGTCACCGGGTCGGGTGGCGGTTCTCAAACTGGGTGCAGAGGCACCCTGGGGTGCCGTGAGAGTATGTCAGGGGTGCCGCGGCAATAATAAGAAAATGTAGCTTAAAATTGTTAAATTATTAAAAGCCGAAAATACAATAGTTTATTACGTTTGAGAACCGCTGCGTTGCCTACCCGGCCCGTCAGCTCGAACCGGTATGCCTGAACCCAGGAGCTTCCGATACACACGCGAGCGTCTAGCCGCTAAGCCACGGCTGCTTCCTGTGTTTGATAGGCATAATTAAAGAAAGAAATATTTAAGGCGAAGGGATCTATTTCATTGCAGATTGTTTAACCCATTTCTCTAAGAGGTGTGGCTGCTCCTTGCAAAGAATTTGTAACACAAGGCACATTGCAGCGTAATCCTAGCGACGATTCACAGAACGAGCCTCAGAGAACAATAGAAACGGTTTAATCGAGGATGTAATCCATCTTTAAATGGAACATTCAGTTATAGTGTAGCATTTAGTATTAATGGAATATTCGACAACAGTATAATCTTCCATCTTTACGAAATCCTTTTTGTAATATTATGGTATTCTGCATTCATGTAATATTCAACAAAATATGGTAACAAACTTCAATATTTGTGAACTCTAATATTTATCTTTTAAAACAAATTTAGTCCTTTTGTTTCGTTCACATTTAAAAAAATTTTTTTGCAAGAAAAGTGAATATTCGTCCTTCTTTCGACGTGGCGTGTGAGTCTTCACTCGAAGAAAACAAATGATGATGATGGACAGGTTCCAAGTGCTGAAATTAAGGCTGTCCACTTGGGCACAAATGCAGGTTTTCACCGACAAATGGCAACCAAACATCGCTATAGGTAATCAGTTTATCAATTCATTTGAGGACGATGAGTCTGGACACTTTGAAACATTAAACACATTTGAACAAAACGAACAACATTAGATATAACTTCTAAAAAAAAAAAAAAACAACAACAACAACAACCGAGTTCTGATGATCATCTGGAAAATACTGCATCAATCACCAGAAGTGACATTAGCTTATGTAATATTGTAAGGTGACTCCCCTTCCACCCCCCCCCCCTTCCCGCCATCTAAAAGATAGAGTACATCCAGTTATTATGTATTGAAAATATATTTGCAATGATTTCCGAGATCGATTTTCGAAACTGTGTTGTTTTAAAAGAACAGATAGGCTTGATTCGGGGTTGGGAACAAAATCCATAATATTTGGTCAATTTCCATGAGAAAAACTGGTTTGATATTTGTCTATTTGTCATATTCGTTCTCCCCTCAAGAACGGATTATTGATGAATACTGGAATTCCACCGTTTTCATATTAAAGTAAAATTCGGCAATTTTATAATTCACCACACCAGTGTGGCACTCCGTATTAACGTAAAATTCAGCAATAGTGTGGTATTTCTTATAAATGTAAAATTCAACAACAAAATTAAACACAAACGTCATTTGATGCGATTAACACGATTGTGACATTTCCCCCACATTGTTTCACATCTATATGACATTTTGTACAAGTGTGATAGTTTGCAACAGCGTTTCTCATGTCTCTTTCCCTACCCACAAAAAATCCCATCGACCCTCCACTAACCATTACTTAACCCTTCACCAACCATGACCTGATCAACACTTAACCCTTCAGCCATGACCTGATCAACACTTAACCCTTCACCAACCATGACCTAATCAACACTTAACCCTTCACCAACCATGACCTGATCAACACTTAACTCTTTACCAACCATGACCTGATCAACACTTAACCCTTTACCAACCAAGACCTGACCAACACTTAACCCTTCACCAACCATGACCTAATCAACACTTAACCCTTCACCAACCAAGACCTGATCAACACTTAACTCTTCACCAACCATGACCTGATCAACACTTAACCCTTTACCAACCATGACCTGATCAACACTTAACCCTTCACCAACCATGACCTTATCAACACTTAACCCTTCACCAACCATGACCTGATCAACACTTAACTCTTTACCAACCATGACCTGATCAACACTTAACCCTTTACCAACCATGACCTGATCAACACTTAACTCTTTACCAACCATGACCTGATCAACACTTAACTCTTCACCAACCATGACCTTATCAACACTTAACCCTTCACCAACCATGACCTAATCAATACTTAACTATTCAGCCATGACCTGATCAACACTTAACCCTTCACCAACCATGACCTAATCAACACTTAACCCTTCACCAACCATGACCTAATCAACACTTAACCCTTCACCAACCATGACCTAATCAACACTTAACTCTTCACCAACCATGACCTGATCAACACTTAACCCTTCACCAACCATGACCTGACAAACACTTAACCCTTCACCAACCGTGACCTGATCAACACTTAACTCTTTACCAACCATGACCTGATCAACACTTAACCCTTCACCAACCATGACCTAATCAATACTTAACCCTTTAACAACCATGCCCTAATCAACACTTAACCCTTTACCAACCATGACCTGATCAACACTTAACCCTTCACCAACCATGACCTGATCAACACTTAACTCTTCACCAACCATGACCTTATCAACACTTAACCCTTCACCAACCATGACCTAATCAACACTTAACTCTTCACCAACCATGACCTAATCAACACTTAACCCTTCACCAACCATGACTTAATCAACACTTAACTCTTCACCAACCATGACCTAATCAACACTTAACCCTTCACTAACCATGACCTAATCAACACTTAACCCTTCACTAACCATGACCTAATCAACACTTAACCCTTTAACAACCATGACCTAATCAACACTTAACTCTTCACAAACCATGACCTAATCAACACTTAACTCTTCACTAACCATGACCTAATCAACACTTAACCCTTCACTAACCATGACCTAATCAACACTTAACCCTTTAACAACCATGACCTAATCAACACTTAACTCTTCACAAACCATGACCTAATCAACACTTAACTCTTCATTAACCATGACCTGATCAACATTTAACCCTTCACCAACCATGACCTGATCAACACTTAACCCTTCACCAACCATGACCTGATCAATACTTAACCCTTCACCAACCATGACCTGTTCAACACTTAACTCTTCAGCCATGACCTGATCAACACTTAACCGTTCAACAACCATGACCTAATCAACACTTAACCCTTCACCAACCATGACCTGATCAACACTTAACCCTTCAACAACCATGACCTAATCAACACTTAACCCCTCACCAACCATGAGCTAATCAACACTTAACCCTTCACCAGCCATGACCTGATCAACACTTAACCCTTCACCAACCATGACCTAATCAACACTTAACTCTTCAGCCATGACCTGATCAACACTTAACCCTTCACCAACCATGACCTAATCAACACTTAACCCTTCACCAACCATGACCTGACCAGCACTCACCTCAAGTCCATGTCGTCCTTCTCTTTGGCCCGGAAATGATACAAGGACACATAGACGTCCTCTTCTTTCTTTTTGATTTTCTGCAAGATAAATAGGGCACATTGTGTTCACCGACATTTGTGAGTTATTTATTTTATTGGCACCAAGGGTAGTACAATATAGGGGATTTGAAACTTTGAGCCTAAATATACTTTAACCCCCCCCCCTCCCCAATTTTAGGGGAGGAATATTTCTTAGTGCCCCCCCCCCGCCCCTAAATTTATAAAGTTGCTAAACCCCGTCCCAACAATATATATACATTGTTTATTTTTACAACAATTATAATAATGAACTGAATGGTACATAAATATATTTAAAATAATGTTATGTCTAAACAAATACTCAAGAGAACTTTAAACACGAGGTTACAGCGGCTGATTATCATTCATACACTTTTTATGGGGTGGGAGGAAGAAAAAGGAGGGCGAGGGGTGCTTTTGAATTTATTTTAGAATTGGTGTGTGGGGGGGGGGGGAGGAGGGGAAGGAAGGAGAGGGGCTAAGGAGCCTGAATCCCTGTGTCCCAATGCCCCTGGGTATGCGCACAGAGACTGTGTGGTTTCACTCTACCTTACTTTATTTCACTCTCACTTTACTTTTTTTTTTCACTCCACTTTATTTGACAAGAACTTACTCTAGTTTATTTTACTTCGCCTCACTTTACCCAACTTGACTTTACTAAGCACACAAACAGCAATAACAGGTTCAGGTAATGTCGGGAGATGTGAACCAGCGTCATGGCACACGGTTAAAAACCATAAGTGCTCTGCCACCAGTACCAACAGCTGATAAGAAACTGTCTGCCTGTGTTGCCATCCGCACGTAATACCGTTGCTGCAGCGACGTTCCTCCATTTACCCCAAAGTGTCAACTCTGGTACCCATTTCCTAGAGGCTTAGTGAACGCCGGAAACCACCCGGTTTCGAACACCGACCGTGGCTGCAGAGAGTCGCAGTTGGATTTGAAAGCGAGCCTCCTTTCGACTGCGCTTACGAGGCTCCCTAAAAGCAATAAGTTAATCACAACGAGAACACTGAACACAAACTCACGGGAGACAACTCTGGTGACGGGGTCCTACTCCTGTCCTTGGAGTCCTCGGTCTCTACTGACGGCGACCGGCTGCTGAAGGCAATCCTCTTCTTGACGGCCGCGGGACCAGCACCACTGGTCTGGCTTTTATCTGGTAGCAGATGTTGGACAAGGTCATGACAGCTCTTGTCGCCAATAAGAGAAACGATGGAACTACACATACACTAGGTCAGCGGTTCTCAAATTGGGTGCCGCGGCACCCAGTGGTGCCCCAAGCGTTTGCCAGGGGTGCCGTGGAGCAGTAATCACGAAAAGTCAGCTAAACATTGTGTAATTACCAAAGAAGACATGCAGATACTTAAGAGTTAAAATTTAAGTTGTCTTCCCTCGGAAAGAGTTTATTTCTGATTTCACACACAGACGTGTTTCATATTGCCTACAATGCCAACCACAGCGTGCCGAGAATTGTCCTTATATTTATCTCGAGGTGCGACCGATTCTTTACCTACATTTATAAATGGTGCATTCGATAAGTAAAGCTGTGGTTGCATTGTGACTGAGACTGAAATGTAAAGATAGAAAATGTGGTCTGTATAGTAGTAACTGTTAGCCTGGTCAAGTAGGTACGTGTATTTACAGATCATGTATTCTTCTGGTGCTTTTATGCGCGCCCGTGTGTGTCTGTGTGTGTGTGTGTGTGTGTGTGTGTTTGGGGGGGGGGTCTGTGGGGGGGGGGGGGTTAAAGAGACATTTTGAATGCAATCATTCTGATTTAGTACATAAAGATGAGGATATCTCCAAACGCCTCGCTTTATCCCTCCAGACAGGATCATTCATGCTGGAGAAATTTTCTAAAAATAAAAATGGAATGGATATAATGAAAAATGCATTCAAACAAGCTCATTCATCGCATTAAAGTAATCTGAACGTTAAATTTGCACTGTTTTTCTTCTTTCCTTCAGTATTTAACCGCTTCAAAAAAATAACTGTCCCAACACTTGGCCTGCTTTACTGCATCGGATACCAATTTCTTTGTCCAATTTACCATCTTCAGTTAACGTTGTTCCAAGATATTTAAACTCATATGCTTTGTTTAATTTGTGAATGCTCTAATGCTATGTTAAAATCCTGCTTCTTTCTTACTATTGACATTACTTCGGTCTATTCGATGTTGATTCTCAGATTATGTGATTGACAATCTTCTTTTATGGATGCGAGATGCTGTTGCAAATTCATGGCTGTATCTGCAATCAAGGCCTGGTCATCAGCAATGAGTAATTCTTTGATGTTTCTATGTTATGATGTTACACATCTATTCACCTCTGAAATAGTTATTATTTTAATTCGTTCTGTTTACTAGGAAGAGCAACTGTGTTCCTTAAAAGTTACTTACATAATCCTCAAACATATTGATACAGAGCTGGTACTGAATTTGTCAACGTTACCCAAGCTAAGATTAAATATAATACAAAACAGATAATCACACAGCTTGTGTTTTCACAATAGGAATCTTAAGTGAATTATTTAAATTATCAAGTCTGATAATCCAAGAAGTGATGCAGATTTAAGAGTTACTTACCTTACATTTTATTCCATGAAACAATATAAATGTTACTGTAATTTGCTTACAGATCATTCCATATAGGCATCCGTGGCTTAGGCGTTGCGAGTCCGACTCGTAACTCCAACTACCGCGATCGAAACCCACTGCTGACTGCATGGATTTTTATCGTGGAATGGGGCATCGCAGGTCGACCCAGCCTGACATGGGTACCAGGGTGGATGTCCTGGAAAGTAAAGACGGCCGGCGTACTGCTGACCACATTACCTACCTAGAGCCGATTGATCTGTAAAAATATCGGGTGCTCTTTCCTTATGTCCAATGCGCCGAAAGGCGTAAAAGGGGCTCTTTACTTTCTTTTACTTCCTTCCCTAGTGAGGCGAATTTACATGCCTTTTTTAAAACCAGGTCACAGAAACATAAGATGAGATGACCAGTTCTTTGATGGTCAGCTTTTTCGTCCGATAGGGGGTTGGGGAACAACGCATTCACACAAGAAACATTTGATGGTTTGGCGGAAGCCTTTATAAAAGAACCTTTATATAGACTGCAGCCACAACGGCAGATTTTTTGTTTGTGTGTACTGTCTCCCCCTACCACCACAGTGGGGAAAAAAAAGGGGGGGGGGGTTATTTGCTTAATGATATTTACGAAGATATCATAAAAGCAATTAACTTTGAGACGGACGGACGGACGGACGGACGGACGGACGGACGGACGGACGGACAGACAGACAGACAGACAAGCGAGAGGGAGACGATGACAGACAGACGGACGGACAAGCGAGAGGGAGACGATGACAGACAGACGGAAGGACAGACAGAAAGACAAGAGAGAGGGAGACATTGACAGACAGACGGACGGACAGACAGACAGACGATTACAAACTTCAGAAGAATATTATCCACATATCTGGACTCACGGACCAGCAGGAAATGCTCTCTGTGATACCTACCAAAAGAGCTGCTGGTGAAGGAGGGACTCTTCTTTGGCACCTCGTCAATGCCCAAAAGTTGCTTGGGTGGGTCTGGCATCTCCAGTGAGAAGCTCTTCATGCGGACACAGAGCTTCTTTCGTCTGGCCTTGGGACTATGACCAACTGTTAGTGACGATGGAAATGGGGTGATCGAGGTTAGTATGTGTGACAATGTTAGGTCTTTTCAATGGCAGAACGATGACAGTTTAGTTTGGACTACATGGTAGGTATGTTAAACGGAAAAATGAAAGCTTGATAAAGCGATATTATTTGGTGTCCTAAATAGAAAAATCACAGTTCAGTTTGGGCTACAGTTATTGATGTGCTAAATGGACAGATGATAGTTTCATTGAGGTTTATTTATTGATGTGCTAAATGGAAAGATGATAGGTTAGGTTGGGCTACATTAATTGATGTGCTAAATGGAAAGATAATAGGTTAGTTTGGGCTATATTTATTGATGTGCTTAATGGAAAGATGATAGGTTAGGTTGGACTACATTTATTGATGTGCTAAATGGAAAGATGATAGCTTATTTGAGGCTATATTTATTGATGTGCTAAATGGAAAGATGATAGTTTAATTGAGGGTATATTTATTGATGTGCTAAATGGAAAGATGATAGGTTAGGTTGGGCTACATTAATTGATGTGCTAAATGGAAAGATAATAGGTTAGTTTGGGCTATATTTATTGATGTGCTTAATGGAAAGATGATAGGTTAGGTTGGACTACATTTATTGATGTGCTAAATGGAAAGATGATAGCTTATTTGAGGCTATATTTATTGATTTGCTAAATGGAAAGATGATAGTTTAATTGAGGGTATATTTATTGATGTGCTAAATGGAAAGATAATAGGTTAGGTTGGGCTACATTAATTGATGTGCTAAATGGAAAGATAATAGGTTAGTTTGGGCTATATTTATTGATGTGCTAAATGGAAAGATGATAGGTTAGGTTGGACTACATTTATTGATGTGCTAAATGGAAAGATGATAGCTTATTTGAGGCTACATTTATTGATGTGCTAAAAGGAAAGATGATAGTTTAATTAAGGCTATCTTTTTTGGTGTGCTAGACAGAGAGATGATAGATTAGTTTGGGCTATATTTATTGAAGTGCTAAATGGAAAGAGGTTTTGTTAGTTTGGTTTACATTTATTGATGTGCTAAATAAATGATAATACGTTACTACGGGCTACATTGTGTGACGTGTTAAATAGAAAGATGATATGTTAGCTTGGGTTACATTGTTTGATGTGTTGAATGGGTGTTAAACTGGGCGAACTTGGCTTCTATGAGCTAAATTGTTGAATCTGTTAAATGAGTGCTAAACTAGGTGACACTGAGTTCATATGAGCTACTAAACTGTTGAATGTGGTAAATGGGTGTTAAACTGCCTGACACTGGATTCAGAGGAGCTAAATTGTTGGACGTGTTAATTGGGTGTTAAACTGGGTGGTACTGGGTTCCTATAAGTTAAATTGTTGAATGTGTTAAATGGGTGTTAAACTGGGTGATACTGGGATTATATGAACTAAATTGTTGAATGTGTTAAATGGGTGTTAAACTGGGTGACACCGGGTTCATATGAACTAAATTGTTGGATGTGTTAAATCGGTGATGCTGGGCTTGTATTGGCTATATTGTTTGATGGGTTAAATGGAAAGGTGATGAATTAGTGTCGGCTACATTTATTGATAGTTTAGGCTACATTGTTAGATGTGTTTAGTGAAAATTTGAGAGTTTAGTTTGAGTTACATTGTAGGCATGTCACATGAGGGGTTACGAATTTATCATAGGTTTACTTTGCTAGATGTGTTGTTAAAAGGTTAAAGATTAAAGGTGATATAATCCACTTCATTGCAATGGGGTTTTATCCCGTATGGCTTGGTCTCTTTCATCAAATAGGTTCCGTAAAACACCAACTCCGTAGCTCCGGTGAAGATCCCTAGTTATCTCGGTAAAAGTTTCACTAATGATCTGAACGACGTCACCGTAAAACAAACTCACGACCTTAACAACGAGAAGCAAACGACGTGACCATTTGACTAATTGACCAGTCACTCAGCCGTTCTGCCTCTGTTAGATGACAATAGACACGAGAACAGTCTTTTACTATTACTTTACTTATACGTCAGATGCTCAACAGCGTATATACAGGATGATATATTAGCTTGACTGCAGTCACCCCCATAGTTTCACCATTTTATTAGCTTGACTGCAGTCACCCCCATAGTTTCACCATTATATTAGCTTGACTGCAGTCAACCCCATAGTTTCACCATTATATTAGCTTGACTGCAGTCACCCCCATAGTTTCACAATTTTATTAGCTTGACTGCAGTCACCCCCATAGTTTCACCATTATATTAGCTTGACTGCAGTCACCCCCATAGTTTCACCATTATATTAGCTTGACTGCAGTCACCCCCATAGTTTCACCATTATATTAGCTTGACTGCAGTCACCCCCCATAGTTTCACCATTATATTAGCTTGACTGCAGTCACCCCCATAGTTTCACCATTATATTAGCTTGACTGCAGTCACCCCCCATAGTTTCACCATTATATTAGCTTGACTGCAGTCACCCCCATAGTTTCACCATTATATTAGCTTGACTGCAGTCACCCCCATAGTTTCACCATTATATTAGCTTGACTGCAGTCACCCCCATAGTTTCACCATTATATTAGCTTGACTGCAGTCACCCCCATAGTTTCACCATTATATTAGCTTGACTGCAGTCACCCCCATAGTTTCACCATTTTGTTAGCTTGACTGCAGCCACCCCATAGTTTCACCATTATATTAGCTTGACTGCAGTCACCCCCATAGTTTCACCATTATATTAGCTTGACTGCAGTCACCCCCATAGTTTCACCATTTTATTAGCTTGACTGCAGTCACCCCCATAGTTTCACCATTTTATTAGCTTGACTGCAGTCACCCCCATAGTTTTACCATTTTATTAGCTTGACTGCAGTCACCCCCATAGTTTCACCATTTTATTAGCTTGACTGCAGTCACCCCCATAGTTTCACCATTATATTAGCTTGACTGCAGTCACCCCCATAGTTTCACCATTATATTAGCTTGACTGCAGTCACCCCCATAGTTTCACCATTTTATTAGCTTGACTGCAGTCACCCCCATAGTTTCACCATTTTATTAGCTTGACTGCAGTCACCCCCATAGTTTCACCATTTTATTAGCTTGACTGCAGTCACCCCCATAGTTTCACCATTGTATTAGCTTGACTGCAGTCACCCCCATAGTTTCAACGTATATACAGGGTATGTTCCGAAAGTAACTTGACAAGCGCTGTAGTTTCACCCCCGCGCTGTGGGTAGGAGATCTGTCATTAGGTGGAGAAGTGGGGGGGGGGGGGGTGGGGGTGGGGGGGGGGGGTGGGGTTAACTACGCGTTGCTAACAGTTCAAGTCTTTGACGAGCAGTTGGAGTGTGGGGATCGTGGAAGTAGTGAATCCCTGTAGGAGTGACGTGTCGTGAAAAAAAAATGAATCTTCCATCGAACAGCGTTACACAAATACAATTTTGCGTCAGACTCGAAAAATCCAGGGCAGAGACTTCGAAAATGTTAAAGACAGCAAACATAAATTAGTGTTCACGTCGATTGATGGTGTTTAACAGGCATAATGTCTTCAAGGAAGGGAGAGAAGATGTTGAGGGTAGAAGACAAGTGGGTAGACCTTCCAACACCAAAACAAAGGAAAACGTGGACCGCGTGCTGGACGGTTTGAACAGTGATCAACGAAATAGTGTGCGATTAGTCGCGGAGAAACTACACTTGCCCAAAACGCAAGTTTATGAAATTTTAACGCAAAATCGGTACTAAAAGTGCCGACAGACCAAAACAAAGCAAACCGCAAAAATTGTTTGAGCGTGTGGCAGTACAGCCAAACTTTCAGCGGAAGGTGATCACGTGTGATGAATCCTGGATGTTTCAGTACGATCCGGAGACCAAAAGACAAAGTTCCAAATAGCACCGGAAAGGATCACCCCGTTCAATTTTTTTTTTCACGACACGTCACTCGTACAGGGATTCACTACTTCCACGATCCGCACGCTCCATTCGTTAATATAAATTTCTGTAACCTATGGTGCCATTTCAATGGGTTGAAATGAATTCTGTCCGTATTCCATAGTCGTGGATTTCAAGCTGTACGATAGACATGGCCAATGAGACACCTTTTTTGGGGGGTGCCTAGTTGACCATGTATCTTAGTGCACTTGTATTCATGGCGAGGCGCAGACGCCGTCTGGAGGTGACAGGTTCAATTCCCGGCACGGTAACTATAGCTTTCGATTTTTATGTTGTCTAGTGTATTCTTCTATCTTTCTACTTCTTTCTATGAGTGCCGTTCACAATACTTTCTGCTACTTGATTAATTCATAACTGTAAGTCAACAACTAGGTCTGGTTGCAATGGGTAGCTAACACCTTTCACGACTCCACCCAGCCACAGACTTCCCCACCAACGGTGCATGCGCGCAACTATAGCACTAGTGCAATTACTTTCAGGACACACCCTGTATGCCTCTACATTGTTGTGCTTTGGATCATTTTCACTCCTGACTTTTAAAATAGAGTCCAAGTATTCCCCCGTGCATAAAACTATGTCCGTATTTCTCATTTGTCCATATTACATTTTGTTCAAATTTCTCATCTGTTCATATTATTCACTTGTTCACATTACTCCCTTGCTCATATTGTTCATTTGTTCTAATTACTCCGTTGTTCAAATTAATTTCTAATTCACATTACCCATTTGTTCATACTGCTGACTTGTCCACATTACTCACTTGTTTATGTTACTTATATGGTTATTTTACTCATTAACAGAGCTTTTCTTCTAGCGGTACTCATCAGTACGTAGCAGCGGTACCATTTTTCAGGCATTGTTCCCTCCCTCCCCCCCCCCCCCCCAGTGCTACTGTAATTACTATACGGTGAGTACAGGCTCGTTTTAAAAAAAAAACTCTTGGCGGGGGGGGGGGGGGGAGCCCTTCTCCCTAACATAACACATAGTAATGAACCTATCTGAGACACCTAA